CACCCAGGCGCCCCTAAACTTAATTTCATCTTAAGCATGATCTTTAAAAATAGTAAACTCCCATTTTGTATGCAATAGTAGTGCATATTTAACTATTTAAGTATATCAGAAAACTGGGAACAAGAGACTATTAAAAGTTTCTTTAGGAGTTTAGACTTATATTTAGCATTAAGCTTCAGGAGAACCTTTCATACCACCCATTTTATGTTTGGATGGCATTAATATGCCAGCAGATATTTAATCAGTGCTTGCTATGTGCCAGATGCTTTTCTAGGGGTTAGAGACAGCAAAGTCTCTCTTAGTGTTTGCATTCCAGTGGGAGAGAAAAATAATATATAATAAATATAACCTTTATATAATCCCTCAGATATATTTTATTTTTTTATTCAACATTACTGAAACCACATTTCACAATAATTAGGCCAAAATGCTTTTCTCTCAGAAATAATGCTTTAATTCCTAAAAACATAACCTTCTCAACTTTCCCAACCTGGAAGTAAGCATTTTGAGGGTTAAAATGGATTTTAAAGCATGCTTTCAAAATGTCATTATGATTCCCTTTGTGATGAAAAATCACTGGGAACCCAGTATCTACTTGAAGAAACCAGTGATAAGACCTTAGGCAGAAATGATTTGAAAATTAAAGTGATCAAGAGATGTGTGTTTGAGCTGTGGGTAGGGATCATTATGTGAGCATTTCTGCTTAAAATCCCACTGTAATTTTCTATAGCCAGAAAATAGTTGAAGCAATGGACTCCCTTGTAGGTGCTGTATTTAAAGAGGCACAGTGACAAACTAAAGTAGTGGGCAGGGATTGAATATATGACAGTTTCAAACTATCCCTGCATTCACATCTATTTAAGTCCCAAACCCCAAATGCCCACAATACAATATAGACTTGTGTGCAAAAGAAAAATCTGATTATGTGAAAAGGAAAAAAGAGTCTGCAATACTTCTTTGCAGGCATTTCTCTGTTTAGAACCACATTCTTAACAAGGAATTGACAATCTTTTGCTTGTATACTTAAAGTTTTCAGGAATTTGTTTACCTTTCTCTCTTTTGTCTTTTTGTCCCTCTTTTGCATTAAATTCCTATAAAACTCTGGTCCTGGGTCTGGGTCCACCATTTCTGTTTCTGTGTTCAGTCTGAAAAATACAATTGAGGGGGAAAATTATAAAAAATTTAGAAATTGTTGTTAAGACAATTGTATGTTTTCAAAATCAGCCAAAGCTTTAAATCTCTTTTTATTCTCCTTCCATTTTGCTCAAAGGCTAAATTTGAACCTCTTTTCACCAGTTCCATTCTTCTTCCACTATTTCCTCCCACAGTCTAAGCAGATGATTTTTGCTTCCTTTGTTCCAAAAAAAGACAATCACGGGGGCACCTGGGTGGCTCAGTCCATTGAGCATCCAACTCTTGATTTCGACTCAGGTCGTGATCCCAGGATTGTGAGATCGAGCCCCACATCAGGCTCCACACTGAGCATGGAGCCTACTTAAGATTCTCTCTCCCTCTGCCCCTCTCCCCGACTCGCATTCTCTCTCTTTGTCTCTAAAATAATAATAATAA